GGAGGGAGCGAGGGAGGGAGAGGGAGGGAGCGAGGGAGCGAGAGAGAGAGAGAGAGAGAGCCGAGGTAAAATGTCCGCCTCTAGAAATATTGCGTTGCAATATTGCAGCAACCCAGATAACAAAATGCGCACGCATGCGGACGCACACGAAAAAAAAAGTTACAGCAGTTCTTATTAATTAGATTTCTTTTTCCATCATTTATGTCCTCTCCTTAAGTGCTGAACTGACTAATAATACCTAGGAAAAAACTTTTAAACCTGATAGGATTCGAACTCGTGACTTCGTCCATGGTCCAGTTCTGAGTCGTTCACCTAACGTACTGCTCCACTCTTACCTTATTGACAGAGATGTTTCGAATTGTCCATATATATTTTCAATAAAAATATTTTGTCTACCCAAACAGATTATTTTGTTAAAATTACCAAAAGTACACTTATTTCGTAATGGCAACAAAATTTTATCTTGTTATTTACAAATAGTAAGTAAGCAATAGTGAGATGCAAAACATGAATTAATCTTTCTCTTACGCGCGCATATTGTGAGTAATGAAGATGTGAAAAGTTTCAGAGATATGTCAACTAAAAGGCTTTCAAAATTGAGTCATGTAAAATATTCCAGGAATATTTCAACTGAAATGTTTGTAATGTTATTACAAGTGACAGGTTTCAGCAATATTTCAACTGAAAGGTTTCAAATGTGAATGATATGAAAGGTTTCAGAGATATCTCAACTGAAAGGATCGAAAAAATTGTGTCATGTGAAAGGTTTCAGCCATATTTCATAGGCAACATTTCGCATGACATATTGCAGACAGCTTGCAGGAATGTTACATGTGAAATGTGAAAGATTGAAATGGTTTTGAAATCTTTCTAACACCTTTTTGAAATATTTGGTGCTGTATGGGTTAAAAAATTCAATTATTTTGATATCAAAAGCAAAAAATACGTCAATCAAAGTATTTGCCCTCGCTAGCTATACATTTTTCCCATCTTTCAGGCAAGTAGATTCCGCGACGATAGAACGATTGGTCCTTTGAAGCAATCCATTCGTCGATCCATTTTCGCACATCTTCATAATTTCTAAAGTGTGTATCTACCAAGCCGTGCTGTATCGATCGGAACAAGTAATAATCTGAAGGAGCTAAGTCTGGTGACTACGCTGGGTGCGAGAGAACTTCCCACTCGAGCTGTATCAGTGTTTCCTTGACGGCTTTTGCAACGTGTGGCCGAGCTTTGTCGTGCAAAAGCACGTCATTTGCGTCGATTGCTGGCTACTGCTGGCCTTTTTTCCAACAATGCTTCATTCAGATGATTCAGTTGTGATTGATATCGATCCTCCGTGATACTTTCGTTCGGTTTGAGCTGAATTTTTGTCCAATAATATTTGCAATTCGGCGTTTTCAAACTTTTTCGGTTGACCTGAGCGTTGTTTATCATTCACATCATAATCACCATTTTTAAATCGCTGAAACCATTCTTGGCATGTTCTTTCCGATGGAGCATAATTGCTATAAGCTTCGACAAGCAATTTATGAGCTGCAGCTGCACTTTTTTTCAAATCAAAGTAATGAAACAACACATGACAAAAAAACAACTCCATGTTTAAAAAAAAAAAAAAAAGCACTGTTCGCTTAAATGAATCTTTTTGCACTGAATTTTGTTGACAAATGTCTAATCTCTAAAATGCAGCCAGTTTCAGATGTCCAAATAAATTACACTTACAACTAGCACCATCTAAATGTGACCCGCGGAAACTAAGTTTAGCACCTAATAATTAAACGAAGAAAGGACAATAAGAGTCAGATCATAAATAATAAAGCGGTTATAACATTTAATAAATTTAACTGTGTATACATAGAACTACTTAAAATAAAATAAAATAAAAGTATTTAGCCGCTTATAATATAAAAATGAAAAATCTCACAATGTAAACGTGTAACAAGTTTCGACTCCAAGGATTGAGTCCTCTTCAGACATTCAAAAAATTATTAAATCTCTCCGTCCATACATGCAGTCAAATCATAAAAAAATCACTAACTCCTCGATTTTTCCTTTTATTACATGACATTGATAATACAGGATGGAAAAATCGTATATTAGAACAATGTATCTGTTCTACAAGATTTAGAAACTAAATGTTTAAACAACCTCATCACACAACCGCCATTTTATACATTTTATATGAGATATGTGAATGATGCAGCATTAGCAACTAATAATAACAATATTAATCACATTTTAAATAATTTCAATAATTACCACCCCAGACTTCAATTCACACTAGAAACACTCACACACACACACACACACACACACACACACACACGCGCGCGCGCGCGCGCGCGCGCACACACAGGTAATAACAAATTAAATTTTTCAGACGTCACATTAATAAAACATAATAACTCAATTATATATGATTGGTATCAAAAACCCTCATCATCAGGAAGATACCTAAATTACTTATCACAGCACCATCACTCTCATAAAATAGGAGTTATCATTGATTTAATTGACAGGGTCTTACACTTATCACATCCATCCATTCATCAAAAAAATTTAGATAAAATCATCAAAATATTACTTAACAACGGTTATCCACTAAAATTAATAATAAACACAAAACTACAAAAATTGAACCTATCAAAATTAAAACGATTACCTAATCACAAAATAAAAGACCCAATGAATATCATCCTTTGAAAATTGACTCTAAAAATTTGTACCATTCTAAATTAAAATGATTATCTAATAATGTAACCTAATAATTTAAACCTTTAATACTTTAAATGATATTATCTAATATAATATATTACCACGAAAAGTAACTGATATATTACTAAATCTGCCAGTTCAAAGTGAACGTACATATAACGAATATTTTCTATGTTGAATATGTACCAC